AGAAATAGAGCTTAAAGAACAAACACATTTTAAAATCTCCTGAAATATTTCAGAAGAAACAATGACAGCGGCTCATCTAATAATATAGCAGGATTATATGGGAACTTCTGAGAATCAACTGAAATGGGAAATTACTACCTTCTATTTTTCAGTGTCCATTAAGAATTTCTGTAATTAAGATAAAATTTATGTGACAAAAAGAGATAAGCTGGCATGCTGGCATTATATGATTATAGGAAATATACCATACTTAATTGATTAAAATGAAGTCTTTTCAACAGACTGTTTCATTTCAATCCAAGATTACATCTTTTGCATGAAAGTCCCAGTCCTCAAAATATTTCTTTAGCAGCCTCTTTTTCACAGGATTTAATGCCACCCATCATCTTATAAGACATTACAATATAATGGATAATTCATTTACATGTCTGCTAATACAAAATGAAAAAAAAAAACCTCTTACATAAATGGAAGATACAAACAATTAAAATCTAAAAAATATTTCTTCACTGTTTCTGCTGTAGCTTCCACTGGGTGCACACGTAGTGGTAATAAGTATTGATGTAAAGGAAACTACAATTTCCCAGACAAATAATTAAGAAAATTCACTATGAAAATACAAATTCAAGGCTGTATTTTGTACTGTGATATGCACTCCAGATCTAAAACATTCTTTCTCCATTAGACAAGTTACTCCCCTTATGCCAAGATAAATAAGAGCTCTGATAGATGTTTCAAATGAGAGCCTCATTTGTCACTTATCCAAATATTACAGAATAACAGGGTATAAAGTTTTAGGATAGACTCTTAGATCCAGTAAAAGAAACAACTGAAATATATTTAAGACTCCAAACCACTGCAGAGGATCAATGTGGATACCTGTGTAACTGCACCAACCAGCAAAGAAAGCAGGTGGTGTGAGATTCTGACCAAAGAAAGTAGAAAACACAGATTTAAACCCATAAAAGAATGATCTTTGCTTTGGTAAGCCAAAGGGATCCAGTGAAGCCTTTCCAGATGGAATTAAACAAAATCTTGGATATAAGACTCAAACAGAGATATCACAATGCAAATAGCAGGCTCTGTCCTTATAAAGAACATCTGTTGGGAAGTTGTTTACATTCCTACCAAAGTGGAAAAGGGTATGCAAATTCCCCATTGCAGCCAGGCAAGTTAAGGGGGAATACAAAGTTACTTCTTAGTGGGGTTTAATAAACACACAGAGCTTTTCACTAACTCACAGTTTTGCACCTGAAAAACAACAAATAGGAATTTGGGGCAAAAAGAAACATTCTCATTTCTCTTTATTAATTTCCATATAATTTGTGAGGCATTTATTTCTAAATTTTCAATCGTTTTATATTTTATTATGTGAATTTGTAGTTTATTTCCTTCCTTTTACAAGGAAGAGACAGGGTGTTCGTTCATGACTCCTTTGCTGAACAGTCTACTAGAAATTGAGAGCTTCCAGCCTGAGGGACAGCAGTTTGCTCTCACTTTTCCAGAGATAAAAACTAAACTGTTTTCAGCTTGAGTTCCTCAGGAAATTTGAAATGGGTCATAAATTATGGGTCATTACTGTATTTTAATATTCCCTGTGTTGCTGCTCTAGGTTTCAGTAGTTGAGTTCTGGTTTTGTTAGGTTTGTTTTTTTTTCTTCCATTTCTTTTATTAAAAGGAACTCAAATATACTCAAGCAGAAACCACCAAGAGGTTGTTCTGCTGCTCCTGTGCCTGCCTCATTCCATCCATCCTGGGAGACAGGCAATGGAAGAGATGGAGCAGCTCCATCCTGCCCTGCCATGCAATGGGTGGACAACCAGAGCAGCAGAACCACAACACAAAATGTTCTTGTTTTAAACTGAAAGCACTTTATTTTATGTTACCAGTTTTACACTGCTTGCTGAATTTTAACAGTGAAGTTTTAAACATCAGAGCTAAAGCCTTGATTTGAAAACGTGACATTACAAAATGAATTTTTAAGAAGTCTGTGATTTTTTTATGCATAGTTGTGACAAATAATTACTGAGTTTCTACTGTTTGTGTTCCCTCTCTGATAGCATTGCTGCTTAGCACTGCACTCCAAGTGGTAAGTGCACTTCCTTTTCTTTTCTCAACACACACACACACACCTATACATTATTGCCCATAAAAGAAATAGCACTTCAGCACTGAACACAAAATGACAGTTGTGAATTTATGCCACAGAATGGTTTGGCTTTAATCCTTCATGTCAGGTAGAAAAAGGTTGCTGCAAAAACAGATGTCAAAATACAAAGACCACCAACAGCAAAGGGAGACCAGAGAGACGTAGTTTGGTAAGAAGGTTTGCTATGAATAAAGCATTTCAAAAGTAAACAGTGTAGTTTGTATATGGACAAAATAATACTAACAATGTCTGAGACCAAAAGAGGACATTTATTTGTAACTATAATCCTACAGTTTCTAGATTTTACTCTACATTTTTTATGGTGAAGACCATATTGCATCATCTGACTTTTACACTGCTGCTTCTTTACTTTTGCCTCTTTAATTTTTGTCTTTTAGAAAAACAATTTTTGAAACAATCTGGTTTAGAAATCTTTCTTTTCCTCTTCCTACACAAACTGGAGAAGAAACTTTTAGAAGAAACTTCACTATTAGCACAGCAGCCTGATTACAAAGGGCAATTACTAATTTTGAAGAACACTAAAAAGACATGACCTGATTACAGCACAGTGATTAAGATACAGATATAGATTAAGATTAGGATGTACTGATAGGACCAAGAGAATGAAATTAAAGTCACCTTTCTAACAGCTAGTGATTTACAGGAGATCTTATACTTTGCAAAAGTTGGAGTTGAATGAAGGTAATGCACATTTTATTTTCACTCTGAAACATTCAGGGTCATGCCATCTCATCCATTTCCATGGGAGCCAGCAACTACACATCTTTGAAGTAATGGCCTTGATCGTGATTCTGAAATCACTTGTATATGTTTCACACATGTGGTTCAATTTATATAATCCTGAGTTATTGAGTTATTTACTGTGTAAAAATCAAGCACATGGCAAATAGCTGAAGGAGTCAAAAGCTTAAAGTCAAACACATGCCCCACTTTGAACTTTTTTGGTCTCTGAAGGAAACCCTTACAGAACTGCTAATCTTGCTGAATGGTCATTCTCAGACAGTGAGAAGTACAGTTGGAGTCAGACTCTTCTTTCTAGGGAGAGCAGCTCCTTTGCCATAATTAGAGGCACTGCAGCACCCTCCACAAAACACAGTTGTTCCTTTAATAAGTGACACTGAACACTATCCCAGCCTACAGCAGCTTTCTCAGTTCGAAACACAAAAGCAGTCAAGTCTCAAAAACTTCAAAGAAAGCTTTTCATTTTATTTTCTCCTTGATCCCCTGATAGAGCGGTTCATTTTCTTGAATTTTGTAAAATGACTTTTTCACTCATCAGACCTGTGTAACAAATCACTGCCTCAATCACCAAATGTTCCTGTTTGACTCATCCGCCTTTCCTTTGGCCTTTGGGAAGGAAGCTTCACTTCTGAAACATTTTCTAAATTCACTTTTGTGAACTCTTCTCCCTCAGTTGCACTTTGTTCCATTTTAAAAAATAATTGCATTTCCTGCAACGTAATGTGCTAGTTTCAGGGTTTTAAATTTCATCAGAATCCACATTTTCTTTCCTAGATAGAGCGATGTCTTTCCTTTAAAAAGCACCATTTTATCGCACACTATCAGCTATAACATAGCGCTTTTTAAGCAGCATTTGCAGAATTCTCAGTTTCAGTCTGCTAACTTAGAACAGCTTTTTGATTAATAAGATGTTTGTACTCTCATGTATATTGTTTTGCTTTTGATGGTCAAAGATTTTCTCTTTCTAATTTCTGAACTTTGCTGCAGCTGTCTATGCTAAGACAGTATCTCCTCTGAGGAAATGTCTATAACAATACAGGAACGTCAATAATCCTAATCTTTTTCAATGTTAAAAAGGCTGGAAATCTATAAAGTTCCATTCCTCCAGGCGTTTTCTGCCTCAAAGCAAATAGGCCAACTTCACTCAGTTACTCCCTGCAGGGAGTGTAGTCAATCCTTTCCAAGATGCAGAAGCAAACCCTCTAATAGGAATTATATTTTCAACCAGGTACTTAAATTTCTGAGTATACCATCCAGTAATGTACAAACCAGAGCATTGCAGGAGCTCCAAGCAGAGTAAACATACGCTCCAGAAGAGCGTAGAGTGGGCTGTGTTGTGATCTTTGCTTACTGGGACTACCTGGAACAGAAACTCTGCCCGTTTTACGTTCATGGTGAAACGCAGCCGAGCTGAGTCTGATCCCTCTAAGTTCTATGGAGTCAGATTTACCTTGTTCTTCTGTCTGATAGCAGATTTTAGCCTACTTTCTTAGCTGCTCAGGTTAGACATCACTCTTCAAAAGGTAAGTAAATCTGAGCTGATGCAACTTTTAGAAAGGATAGTGATCGCTCCATAGAAAAAGGAAGGTGTAAAGAAGAACAGCTTCTGGATGGCAGAAAACCAGAATAAAGCACATGTTCCCAGAGAAATAAAGAAGTCAGAGCTGTTTGATCATATCTCCCCAGATGCTGAGCCAGAAGCCAGTTTCACAGATGCGCCCAAGTTTGACATGACTCCGTGTCACCTGGTTCTTCCCTCACCAGTTATCTTCCTTCTCCTGCTCCTGATGTCCACCTTCCCTGCCTGCTCGTTTCCACTCCCCGTTTCCCATGCGGGCTCCCCCAGCCAGTCGCCCACATTTCCCTCTGCCCGAGGTTCCCTGTCAGCCTCCCTGCTTTCCGCAGCCCTCACCTGCCCTCCTGTCCCCTCCTGCCCCTCAGCCACGGCCCCTCTGCCCGGGTCGCTCCCCTCCCTTCACAGCCCCGGCGAGGCGGAGCCCTGAGGGCAGAGCCAGCCTCACCTTCCTCCTGCCGGGCACCGCGGCTCTCACCAGCCTGCCCTCACAAAGGGCTCCACGAGAGGACAGAAATGAACCTGGATGCTTTGTTCCAGCAAATCCAGTTCACAGAGAAGCAGGCGAGGGAGAAGAGGCACTTCATCCAGCAAGGTCGGCCCCATGGCGACACCGACCACCCTGCATGGCCTCTCCGTTCCCGGGGTGTCCTGAGGGGAATTGTGCCAGGGAAAGCCGGGATGGCTGCTTCTTGCTAATGGTACATTTCTATAAGGATGTAGCTTTTTACAAACCGAGTAAACGTTCTGACAGGTTTTTGTTTGTTGTTGCAGCTAAGTGTGACATAAACAGGAGCTATGAAAAAATCAACCAAATAAAAGAAGAGCTGAGCGCTGCAAAAGTTAACTTGGAAACCAAGGTAAGCAGGCACATTCAGAGTGTACATAATAATGAAATACACTATGTTTACAAATATATAATCTTTCAGGAATAGATTCAGAAGCACTTCCAAGGAGTGTGCATTCCTTGGTTGCCCAATGCCTTTCACTAATGGCCTTCCACAGAAAAAAATATATGGAAACATTCCCTGTTTGAATCATACACTGAAGACCCTTCTGTAAGCCCAGGCTTACAAGCCCTAAGGTTTTTTCTAAGGATGCCAAAGGCAGAGGAAAGTTTCTAAATCTACTTAGTGATTTTATTACTCTTTCCATTTAATCAGATGTATTTTCAGATTAAGCTTCCAGTTTTGCAGAGCTTTTCACGAGTAACACCTGCAGTTGCAAATTATTTGAAAATCCATTTGCTTGTGTCTGAAAAATGAAGTTTAAATACCATCCCTGGTGCTCTTAAGTATCTTTGCTGACAGAATATGTATTCACAACAGGAAAGCATATGGAGCCTCCTTTGAAGTCAGAACTCTTGTATCCTATCACTTAAGCAAACAACTTCAAGAACATTTGGGGGATTGCCTCACCTAGTTGTGAAAATAAATGTTTGGGAGATGATTTTCATCCTTCCAAACACAGGCTCTTCTGCCTTTTGTAAAGGACTATGTAGTATATATAATAAATATCAACATTACTGGTCAGAATAAAAAAGAACTCATTTACAACTATTTACTGGTTGCCAATTCAGACTGTAATCTTACAAGCAGTTATTCATGTGCTCACATTTATGCATGTCACGATCTCAGAGCCCAAAGGTGCTTTAAAGTAGTAACTTATTTAGCCAACACAGATTACATCTGGATATTGCTTGTTAGGTGAAGTCTTACTCATAAATTTATTTATGAACATTACAATTTTATGTTTATACTACTAATTTGTTGTTGATGCATTGTGATTTATAAGCAAGGTTCATGTGGTAGGTACAGAAGGTCCCAAGAGTAGAGCCATTATTGTAAACGACTAATGGGAAGAGCTGAAGAACCACTCCTAATTAAATTTTATGTGCTTTACTGACCAGGATTAATAATATTCTCACTGATGTCCACAAAAATATATTTTGCTTGCTTGCTTACTCTGACATTGATTAATTTATAGATAGGAAATGATACAGAAAAGTAGTGGAATACGAAAATACATTTCAATCAGACTGTATTTAGGTTTAAAGATTATATAGTTATTGACATTATTTAATTTATTTTTCAGTACAGGAATTAGGTTTACATACGTCTATAATAGTTCATGCAATTCAAATAATATTAAATAATGCTGTTCAGCTAATATCCTGCACCAAATAACTGCAGTTCTTTATAATCAGACATATCCAACCAGAAGCATGCCCAGCAGCTGATGCCTGACCAAGCAGATGAGACTGAGTTCAAAAGTTTTTTGACATCTATTTCACAGACACTGCCTGTGGTCAATCAGAGAATCCTAGGAAATGCAATTTTTCCCTCTGTTCTGTAAAATCAGGTAGCATGTAATTAGAACCCGGATTATAACATTTTACAGTTCATAGCTCAGTGATTTCTTTAAAAAAATTGGTTGTAAATGCATAGATGAGGTTGGCATCTTACAGATGGAGAAACTACACTGCAGCTAGTTATGTTCAGTAATACAAATAATACAAATACAGTGGTATAAGACCATCTAGAGCTTTGAATTAATATGTAAAATAAATTCTCCTAAGGCAAGCACTTCCTGGACACTTAGCATGCTGGACATATCAGGAATAAGGAAAAACTCTGGTCCTTTCCTTCCCAACTCTCACATTCATCTTAGGGCATTTTCATTCCACTATCCTCCTATTTTGACCAGATGCACTTTGTCTGTGTCCTCTCCAAAATCATCTACATTGTTTAATTTTAAATCTTTTTACTTTTACCATTTACTTTTACCACTGTAATACCGCTCTTATTTGGTCTTTTCTGCTTCTACTCACACAAACAGTCCCCTTACCAGCCTGACTATTCAATTTACTTCCTGATACTTACCCTGTGCCTTTGCAGTCTGTGGACACTTTACTTTCCCTCCTCGTTGCTCTGAGCATTACAGTCTGAGTCATTCTCTTGACTCACTTCAAGAGAACTTCACTCCATCAGGTGAATGGTTCTCATCCTTTAAGCCTCTTCAACACTTAGCTGTTTTCTATTTATCTGTTATTATAGTTTATTCCACTGTGTATCTTAGGTTAGACAATGATATAGTAGATGTGCAGGAAAATTGAGAAGAACTCCAACAAATGTTGAAAATGCAGTGGTTGAACAGCATACCCTTCTAATTAATTAATGGTTAATATTATTAAAACTCAAAATAAATCTATATGCAAAATTGAAGTTCGGGGCTTTGGGTGGTTATGGGCAAACTGTCCCTAATCAGTGAGCTGATTTCCATTACGCTTTCTTGGCTAAAAATTCCAGAAATTATGCTCAGAAAAAACATGAGCATATCCCTCCTTCCTTCACATATGCCACAGTAGCATTGCAGAGTTGGTGACGTGTACAGCCATTTGGTCAGAACTGCGATGTTGAACCCCTGTCCCTCTGATATTATTGTCTGATTGGGTAGATGAGGAGCTTTACAGGGTTAGATGGGGGACACTGTCCTGTGTTGGGTAAAAGATCCCAGGGGTCAATACTTCTCCTGGTTTTAACCTGAAAAAAACATCTCCTGAACCAAGCAGGCTTTAAATTGCCATTCTAGATAGACAGACCACCACTAAATGTGTCTTTTAAAGAAAGAAGATTTTGAAAAGCTTAGTGGTATCCTGGAAGATTAGTGGGGGGAAAAAGAAAGAGCTGTTATGCTTTTGCTAATCCAGCAGCTATGGCAGCTGGTGTTTGAACTGGACCAAGATCCTTGTGTACAATATCAAAGTATGTGAAACAATAAAACAATAACCTTTCTTCATAACTTCTTTTTTTTTCTCTTGGAAGGTTCAGCACTTGTCTGAAAAGCAGTTCTACTTAGAAATTCTGAAGAAACATGAAGATAGCTTGGAGAAACAGAAAGCTGAACTTCTTAATGAAAAAAGCAGTCTTCTGAAAGTCTTAGTATGTTCCCAGCTATGGTGTTTGTTCCCAGCTGTGGTGTTCAGACAGCTCTTTTCTACTGGGCAGAAGAGCTTTAAAATTTGAAAATCTGAAAGAACTAATATTTTAAATCAAGAATTTTTTTTTTACCCTAGCTTATGTAACAATGTAAATGTAGATAAATTGTCACTTTTACTTTAAACCACAATATAACATAGTCTATGTGCAGTTTATCTACAAAACTGATTTAACATTCTTCATTTTCTAATGTCTGCTGCTGTATGACTGAGCTCCAGTTCTGAGAGATTATTTCCTCTGGAAAAGTAAACTAGGAAATTTGGGTGGCTCATCCACAGTCAAAACTGATTGAGAAGGTTCAAAGGAAAAACCCAGGGAGGCCCACACCACATTTTGGCAATCCTGACGTATCACACAATGTCTTTGATGGCAGACACAGCCAACCACCTCTTCAAAGGTAGCTACTTACAACAGACAAGAAGTTTTTCAGTTCTCTCATATGCCAACCTGAATATTGCCTTCCTCTTACTTCAAATGTTCAGTACAAATCACCAGTATTAACCCTAAATCTTTAGGCAGATATTTTCTTAATTGAGTAATCATTTCTGCAGCATCCAAAGTGTTCCCAATATATGTGTGAAGCTTCTTTTAACTGGAGCCAGTCGAGCTTGATATGTGGGTTATCATTTCTTTTTCCTGTATATAGGGGACATTTCATTCTATTTGACTTAGAAATCAATTAATATTTCTTAAAAGAAACTGAATATAACCTTTCTTGTTTGAATTTCCAGAAAATTAAACAGTAATTTCCTATCAACTATAGCTTTCTTGGTAGTTATTAAGGGAGTTAAAATCAGCCTGAGTTCTGCAGAGGAATAAACAACACCTTGATTTAAGTTAATAACAATCTAAAAAAAAGGAACAGCCCTGCTAGGCTACTGACTTTGAACAGAACTTTCTACTAACTCCAGTAAAATAGTTGAACCAAATAACTGTTGGTGCAATTCTGGAAGATAAGGTAGCGATTTTTTTAAATGCGTTATTATTAAGAATATATCCTTCATTTTTACAGGGGGAAAAAAAAGTTAAAACAACAGACATAATGGTAGAGCTGTAGACCATATTCATGTTCTTATAACTCAGGAAATAATTTACTTATACATTTTATTTACTTTTGTTTATTTATTTATACTACAAATTTAAGGGTAGAAACAATAGTGTGTTTCAGTCTGCCTAGCCTAACAAAGCTTTCTTTTTTTTTTCACCTGAACATTCAATATTCCCTTTCTTTATTTCAGACAGATGCAAAGAGAAAGATTGCTGAAGAGGAAGATAATTTTACCAGAGAAGTGACAGAGTTTAACAATGAATATGGACTAACAAGTAATAGGGATCTTTTGATTAAAAAAAAAGTCAAGACTGAAATAAAGGATTTAGAGAATGAGGCAGCGCTGCTGAAAAATGGTAAGTCTTCTATTAAACTGGTGTATCCTGCATTAATACAAATCAGTGAAACATAACTGTGCAAACCAGTACTTTTAGTGGCATTCCCTTGCAGAAGTGTCTGCTGATGTCTAATGTCAGCCAGCACAGAGGAGCTCTGTCACACCCTGTGACTGGTTTTGGTAGAATCATCTGTGGTTGAGTTCTGTGCATGTCCTCAGCTTCAAAAGAATTGCACACACAAATGTCTTGCAGTAGAACTTGATCTTTAAGGCTCAGAGTGTGAGATCTCTCAGAACACAGGGTCAGACTCAAAAGGCCTTCTGCAAGGAAATAGGGGTCGTCATGGATCACGAGCTGAACATGAGTCAGTGACATCAGAATGCCAACACCACACTGAGACATAAACATAATTCTGACCTCTAAGGCATGGAAAATAATTGTTCACTCTATTTGGGGCAGTTAAGCTCTTAGCTGGAGTACTGTGCATCTCATTTTGATGTTAAACTCCAAGAAAAGCTGTGGACCAGCTGGAGAGAGTCCACATGGGACCAGTGACAGTGATCACAGTTCTGCAGTCCACGAGAAAGAAGAAAATGAAAGAATTGTGACTATTTAACCTATTAAGGAAAAGACTGATGAAAGATGAATATCAGTCTTAAAATTATTAAGGGATCCTGTAAAAAGGAAATTAATATATTCTCCATATCTATAGTGAACTGAATAAAAAGTAACAAGTGTAAAACACAATAAAGGAGAGTCTGTCTGACTGTTTAGAAGTCTTTCTAAAAACAGTGAACAACTAAAACACTCTGCCCTAGGAGATTCCATTATCAAAGGAATGAGGAGTCTTCACTACCAAAGGTCTTTAAAACAGGACAGACAATCATCTGTCAGGAACAGCAGAGGCACAGCTGATCCCACCTTCAGGAGAAGGAATGCCGTAGATGACCCCTCAAAGTCCTTTCCAGTTTCATGATTTGTCAAACACCAGCACTTCCAATTCCCAAGATCTGCTGTAAAGTTACTGAAATAAAACTATCCATTTGAGTTTGATTTGGTAGTACCTTCTTTCTTATTGCTGTGATTCTAATCTACAACTGAAAGAAGTCTGTATTTGGTGGCAAGTGCTACTTTTAGCAATTAATTTTTACATATTCAGGCAGATCTGGGCAGTTAAATGATTAGTAGGACCTGAAGTGGGACCAACATTCTTCTCTAGGTTCAGTTGCTGTCTTGATTCTACCCTTTATTTGCACTTTTTTTGAGGTACAACTTGCCTGTCTTTGGTCTGCTACAGTCCTGAGCACACTGACAACACTGAAGTGAAAACTTTTAGTAACTCTAAAATGGGAATTATGCAAGGACCTCCAGTTGTTAGAAAAACAATCACAATTCATTTCAGATGCTGTCAATAGTCAGGTTCAAATATCCATAAGACTAAACAAATTAAGTGGGTTTTTTTCACTCCTGCTGAGAGGTGACTGCTCTCCACCTATTCAGTGAGTCATCTTCCTTTCTTTGCAGCTGAAGTAACTCTAAAGCAAAACATTCTTTTTCTGCCCAGATAACAAAATATGTTGAATATCTTAATAACAATAAAACCTATTTTCTTTCACAGAATGCATTGTATGACCTATAATTTCCTGTGAACTGTGTTTTATATGAGTGATTTTAGTTTATTTTAGTTTTATATTCAAGGTTCTTTTTCACTAGCTGAATATTGATAGAAGTAGTTAAGAATATTTAAGATTGTATCATGAATGCTAAAACTGCAACTTATTTTAATTTAAATGTATCTTTTTCTTAGAAATGGAGTCAATGGAACATAAAAATGTTCAGTTAAATGCACTCCAGCTGCAGAAGAATGAGTTAAAGCAGGATTTATTTACTCTCCAAAGTGAACTCAAAGGTGTGCCTGATAATTACTTGCTATGATAATTGTTTCTGCTTGACAAAGGCTTTTGAAAAATCTTTTCAGTCAAGTTCCTTTTCTCAAGAAAAAGAAATCACAGTAACAAGATTTTAATTAATTTTTACGATATGTAATACATAATTTTTAAACATGGCTATAATAAATTAGAGATTTCAATGAGATTTATTTTGAATGTCAGTGATAATGAGATCTAGAGATCTGCTGAATCATGAGCTATAAATATAAAAAAGAAATTTTTGCTTTTGCTGGTAAGTCATGTACTTAAATGGAGAATTTGGTTGTTTCAAAGTGCACTTAAAATCAACATAAATATTGTTTTAAAACCATTAACCTATAATTAAAGAATGTCACTAAAATTCAAATGTTTTAAAAGCAATGTGGCTTGGACTGAGAAAGACAGGTTTGTCCGAGGTGCTGAACCTCTGAGTTGTAAATTCAACTGTCTTCTGTTTACTGACATTTGTGTGGTTTTGTGTGGAAGTGTGTGCATAAAAAAGGACATCTGTGAGGGGTGTCAAGTACTCAGCAAACTCTATAAAATGAAAAGCTGAAAACGTCCAGAAGGAACCACTAACGGCTCTGTGTCAAAACTGATCACAGCAATAGGGATAATTTTGAAATCTGGATTAAAAAATGTAATCTAGAGCCCTTTAGTAACCTTTTTTACAAATATATAAGTAACATGTCTCAGTAGGAGCTAAGAAAAGCAGTAAATGTGATCAAAATTGTTTGAGAAAAGGAGTGGAACTTTCTAGATTGCAATATGTAATTACAATCATAATAATAAAAACATGTTCTTTATTTAGATGCCCTTTCCCTTCAGTTTCATGAGGAAATATCAGAAAATATAAATTTAGAAAATGTAGAAATTATTTGAATATGGATGATTAATATATATTTATAAGGTGATTCTGATTTCATGTTTAGACCTTGAGAAAGCAATCAGGGAGGCTGAAAGAAGGACAAAAGATTTAGAAGCAGAAAAAGTCCAAGTCACTGAAAAACCTCAGACTGATCCTGAATGTTTAAGGTACAAGTCTCATGTTAATGAGTTCCTAAGTATAATTTTAGGTCTGTAACTGCAGACCAGTCCTGGTGGCAATGATTGTCTTACCTTTCCTGATGAAGTGCCCAGTGCAGCTGAAGGGCTGCACAGAGCCCACTGCAGCGGGATGGGTTGGCCACAGTAACCTCCTGGGGCCTGCTGGGCCCTGTGCTGGAGCTACTCAATGCAGGGTTTTCTCTGTGATCTTTATCAGTTCCAGTTTGCCTTCCAGTTAAGCCAGTTTAGAACAAAATTTTGAAGACTTAACCAAGATAGAAAGAAGACCTTGAACAGTCTCCCTTAACAGTGAATGTTGATTCTTGGGAACCGAGTGGTAATGACTCATTTCTTGTCAATTTGCTTAAGTCAGACAATTAGATTTGCACTTTACAGAAAATAATGTAATGGGTTTTTGTAAAAAAAAAAAAGGATTCCGGTGCAGAAAGCTCCATATCACAGAACTGTCCATCTTTTTTTTCCTGTCTTATGATGTTCCAGATGGAAGTGCCTGTGGATATTTAAAAATACTGAATAGGCAATGCAAAGAAACTCCTTCTGGAAAAGCTGGCCTGAAAGATTCTCAAGCAAAAGTTGTTGAGGAAAACATAACTGTTATTACCATTATGGGTTTCTTTCCTATATATTGCTAAGCTTTTACCAAAAATAAATAAATATAGGGTGGGTTTTTTTTTCTGAAAACTTTCAATGGAAAGTTATAACTTTGCAGAGAACCCTGGGCAATTTTCTGAAAGATGATTTGGTAATGGCCCATTTTTTGCTGAATATCGGTTTTCGAAAGAAAATGATATATCAGCCCTATTACTAACTCTCTTCAACCTCTTACATGGTGTTGAGACATGGCCAGAATTCCCTCAGCATAAAAATTAATTAGCTCACAATCCTGCATGCAGTTGCAAAAAATTTGCATTCAACGTATACATGGAAGACACAGTGTAAATAATAATAACAGCAAGGGTTCCCTAGGACAGCATGTTATAATTCACTTGCTTACATTACTCCTTCAGTCGTGATATATGAGGGTTTGTGATACATGAGGTTGTCACCTTCCTTCTAAATAACAGACTTCCTTGGAGTAGTTTACTGCCACGATGCCACTGAATATCCAAATTGGTGTAATTAGTTTCCTGTAACAGGTTCCCTTTGTGTAAGGTACAGAAGTAACAAACATTGTGTTACTTTCAGTTCCCAGCTCTGCCACTGAGATCCCAGGGATCACTCAAATCCATATGTGTCTGTCTTTCTATGCAGTGAAAGTAACTCACAGCTCTGCAGAACATTGCTTTGGTTTTATCTGGGTGGAAAACGTGGATAAAACATATTAAATTCTATTAACTGCAAAATCAGCAAGTGCCATTTACAACCAAAGCAAGAAGGAGGATGATATTTTGCTTATTTAATGAAATGCCTTCTTTTGTGGTCAAGATAAGCTTACATTATTTGATAATTGCATGTAGTGCCAAATATAAACTGCTGCTACTGCTATGACTAATGTCACAAAATGCAAGCTCTTCTTGTAGTGTAATAATATACTGAGTACATTTTCTTTACATTGAAATGCTTTTTCATTTCAGATACTGGAAAAAAATTTGGACAGATTTGCCTAAGTCATACTTTTATCTTGCACTTGCTTTTGATCAGAAAAGCTCAGTGCTTTATAGAGGGAGAGAGATAGCCCTGAATAAGTTAACTCAGATGCCAGAAGCAACATAGATATGCTACTGCATTTCCATGTCAGCAGTAAGAGATTCTGCCTTTCAGTCAGGCAATCCTCATTTGTCTACCCTTCTGTGTCACAGTGCTGCGCTCTTTAGAATCATCCCAAACTCTTATCAGGCTCCTACAACTCTAGCAATTCTCTTTTTTTCCTTCTCTTCTTTAACACCTACCATCACTTCTTGATTTGGACTACTGAATTGAGAGAATGAAAGGGGGTTAAAGTATTCCATGCTGTAAATACTGCAGTCTATAAATATTCCCCCAGGAGGTACCTGCTCACTTTCCAGTACCTACAAGGGTATCATCAAGAAGGTGGAGCCAGGACCTGCCCAATCCTGCACAGCGGGAGAACAAAAGGCAAAAAGCAGACGTTGAAATGAGAAGATTTAGAATGAATTTAAGGAAAAACATTTTTATCATGAGGATAGTGGAAGGAAAGGAAAAGGTTGCCCAGAGAGGTTGCAGAGCTTTCATCCTTGAAGGTTCTCCCTGAGATATATGCACATACCAGTGTCTATAGCTTAACAGGAGTCAATTTTGGCTATGTTAAAATCAATGAGATTGAACCTGCTGTGTCAGAGAAACAACCCTTTTTAGCCTAACAAGATTAAGTTTTTTCCCCCATACAAAATTTATTGCAAGAATAGAATTCTAGTTTTTTACTGAAAATCATTTTTATAACATATAAAGATGATAATATTTTGGCACCAGTAATATGGATGAAAAGTACATTTTTTTTTCCATGAAATAAGCACAAAATTTGATTCTCTTTTTACAGAGCTGGAAACCACACCACTCTTTAAATGGTAAAAATACCAATGTTTTTAATGCTTCCTTAGAACAAATGTGAGAGACAGTCAGCATCAATAACCTGATATATGTAGCTCTCTGATCACCCTGCAAGTCTGTTACTGTATCACATTCCTAGTTCCAGCTTAAAAATCAATATCAAAAGTAGCTGGCAAGGCAAGAATCTTCATTACAATTAAGTATATATCTAAAAGTAAATTGCATTTCAGTGTAGCCAGCTAATTCAAATTACAGCAATTTATCTTTGATCTGAGAAAAATGTCCTATACAACGTCTGCAGTTTCATAAAATTTTCCTCTCAAATCCATCAAAGAATTACAAAAGGTTGTGAGAAGCACACAGGGGTAATTCTAAAAGCTGTTGGTTCTGCAGTAAGAGGCTTGTTTAAATACACACCAGGTACAGAAAAAGGGTAACCAAAATTGGGATGTTAAGCACAGACATAGTTATGGATAAGCCACTGTACCTTCTTACCTAAAGACACCCTGGACAATGCAAGTGTCAAGATAAAGGCACATAATTCAGAGAAATGTTTAAGATAAGAAGGCTTTCTTCTGTTTCCTGAAGAGATCTGCAATTAAGATCAAAAGCTTTATTTTAATCATCTGTTCTGTCAGTGCCAACCCCAAACACAAAACAGTAGGAAAGAACTTTGGCATCAGCTCTCTGGAGTCCCATTTCCCTGGCAGGTTCAAGTAGCATCACTTGAGTGGAACAACTCAGGAGTCAAGCAGAGACTGATACCAGTAAATCCCTAACTGTGTCATTTCACTATTCTATTAATTGTAATTACTATATTAATTATTTATCTTCTTTCACATTTTAATTTTAGATTTTTGTGTTGCCTTAAGTAAAGCAGCTTAGAAATAATTTGAATTGAAGCTCATTTAGACTAGAAGAGAACATTTCTACCTAAAACTGGTATTTGTCACACTATTTAAAAGGTAGACTGAGGATAAAATGTTTCTTTGAAACCTGAATCTCTCTTCTACTTCAGAAAAGAAGTAGCAGAAAGGAAGTGCATGAAATCTGCTTACTTTTTAAGTAGTTCAAGGCTTTGTATACTTGTCTAAATCCAAAAATACAGTATTGCTTCTTAGACTTTATAATGCAGAAATTCCATTACCAAAATTAGGAAGGAAGAAGTAATTCTTTCTTTCATACAGGTCATACAGAAAATATATTCATTAGAGCTGAAAAATATTTCATGCTAACAGCAGAGTGCCTGAGGCCATGGATGGTTCTGGTGGGGTAAAAAAAAAAATTGCAATTTAATTTTATGTTAAATTTAATAATCAAGAGATATCACTCTCTGGAGTAATTTTTGTGGTTCAAAATTAGTTTTTCAGTGGCAATCTCCTCATTGATTTTTTTGAGCTTTTCTTTTTAATAGTAGTGCCTAGTAGAACTACTATAGTTTATGTTAAAATAAGTTTCCATTATGAATTGCAGTATGTATTTACAAAAAGTAGATCAAATCTGACTAATGAAATCTTTCAGATTTCTTTTCATTAGACAACAAATTGGTTAGGCAAAGAAACTTCAAATGCCATCCATCTAGACATTAATAAAGTATTTGATGTTAACCCACATGGGAAACGACTGGTTAACCTGAGGAAGACATATGTAAAAAATTAAGGAAAGAAATGACTAATATTAACAACAGAAATAGGTCTGAAAATAGAAATTCTGGTGCTTGAAGAAGGCAACTACAGTCACTGCTGGTCATGGGTAATGTTTTAAATGATGACTTTGGAATAGGAAGTATTTTAAGACAATAGTGTAAAATAATCAAAAAACTACACCTTGTGGACTGGAATTTGCTGGAAAAGAGGAGGAATATAATTATATACAGTGCAAGTTGATCTATTTGAACACAACTAAGGGCTTCAATAAGAGGTACCTGGAAGCAAAGGAGAGGTCTGAGCTTACTGTGTGAGCAAAATACAACTATAAACATCAAAAGTAAATATAGCTGTGGACAAGATAAAAGCAAGAGTTATGCAGGAGTTAAAAGCAGGAGGGTGTAAAAATACTGTGTACAAATCTGTCACCTACTTGTCAAAAAAAAGGAGATGCATTCAACCTGGAAGAAGAGTAGAGTATGGAGAGCCCATAATGCAGAAGGAAAGAAGGACAATTCTAAATCCTTTTTAGCTCTGAGAAAAATTATAAAAAAGAAGAAAGCAGTACATTATAGAGACACGGATTTCACCAGTGGGGTAGCCATATTAATACATCCAGATTAAGATCTAATTTTCCCTGTACAATAGAAAAATCAAGATAATTGAATGAGAGGGATCATTGACCCCTATTTACTTTCCCTGCCTCAGTAGGAATCTTACTGACCCCTAGGAACACGTTTCATTTTCACGTCTCTGATGTTGGTACAGTTTTTTCTTTCCTGTGTAACTCTTCTTCCAGTTCCTGTGAAAAGGAGTGCATATAGCTTTGGTTTTACTGTCTGCACAAAAGCAAACCTCACCCTAATGTGCAGTTTAATTCAGTGTGCCTTAACCTTTTCATGTTTATTCATCTATAATAATATATTCCTCAAAGATGTCTTGTGATGTTTTATGTATTTGGGGAATATAAATTAAAAAAAAGTACCACCACGCTTTTGAAGACCTCTGACTATTCCTATAAATAGTTGCCTGACAGCATTCACAAAATGCAAGCTTTAATCAGTGAAAATTGCATATTTTACATTCAGCATTTGATCCAGGACAGCAAAAACCGAAACTTTCTTATTTTACCTAAGTAGCTCTATTTCTTTTAATTTGCATTTAATTCCCATTGTTATGTGGTCTAGTACCCTCCTTGCTTTCATGTTTAATCTTCTTGCTACTATTTATTATTACTCCTAGATCACTTTCTTAATTTTTATTCTCTTCCTGCTCTACCAAGCACAGACTTTTATAATTTAATTGTGTAACTCAAGCACTTGGGTCTATATTTTGAGATACTAAACTCTGTTTAGGACTTGTTTTCTCCTTTCCTCAATCAATTGATAATAGTCTGAAATTGATTGACTTCTGCAGCCTTATCAATAGCATTTTCTGTTTAGTAGTGTCAGCAAATTGTAAATACCCAGCAAAATCTTGCTCTCACTAGAGAAACACAGATATTAATTTAGTGCCAGTACTGAAGTGAGAGTGAATGACCTCAGTGTGTTACCTCTGCTTCAGCTTGAGACAATAAACCAAAGTTTTCGATGGTTTTCTTCAGTCTCAATAAAGTTTTAAAACCTTGATAAATGTATCTCCTGGTGTTTACAATAAAATTCAGGAAAATCAACATACATACTCTCCAGTTTTATATATAACTTCCTACACAGTTTCATTTTGTACCATGAATTCTATGCCCTGTATATCAGTGTCAAGCAATTCTGTTTTATAATACACCATAATGTTTTCCCTCCAATTTATGTTTAAAAAATAAAATGGTGGTCATAAACAAGGCAAAGACAAGAAGGAGAATATGAAAAAGATGTTTTTCCTGTCTCAGCAGAACATAACTAAGAGACAGTCTGCTCCTTCTGCAACTCCAACAACAACCAGCTAGGGTGTTTCATCCCCACTTAGGATAAAAAAACCAGACTAAAAATGCATATTAACCTTGCCTTCTACATAAATTATTTCTCCTTTGAGAACTCTTTACATAAAATTATTCTTGAAATGCAAGTTTTGGATACTGAAGTCTTCATCCAGTAATTTGAATCCATGGATGATTTTCGGAGAAACCCGTTTGACAATAACATTATTTTTTCCGTAGTTCAATTAATAATGCCAGCAAGTAATGATTTTGCAATTATTTTTCCTATTTTCCCTGTGCATACACAGCTGAAATTCAAGAAGAGTGGATCAACCACAAATGCCAATGACATTTAATAGCTGGGCTCATTTCAAAGCTGCAAAATCGATCATCTTCAGTGGTCCCCTCCTTCTTCATCTCTGTCACTTCTGGCATTCAAGAATAATGGAAAATGGGCCATTGGTAGTGGAGCTCAGTCTAGGACAGGCTAGCATCCAAAAAATGCTGATGTTGTTGTCCCAGCTACTTGATTTAAGACTGGGGTTTGCTGTTTCAAATATGGCATTTCCGCTCCAGCTGTTCATTAGCTGTGATGCTGTAATTTACCAACGCACTCTTAGTGCAGTGCAAGGACTTGTTATAAAGATATATTTTATTGTCACCAGAGAGAACAGAATGGTAAAAATAAAACCAAAGGACATGGACAGCCAAATGCTAATGTGATTTTTCAGGTTATTCTTTCTAAGAGATCTGCTTTTTATCATAGTCATAAACGAGGATATAATTGTCATATTAATCCTTGTTCTGGCAAAAGTTACATCTCTTTCCATTTCCAAAGGTGACAGAAAACCTGCCTTCCATCTAAACAGGATAGTTTCATGAATAATTGGTTTGCACATTTAATCTGATAGTGGAAAGATGAATATGAATATCCTGCTTATCTTAAATGTAAAATGAAAAACCTAAATCTGCTTTCAGGTTAAGCATTTTTTTAATAGTTCCATTGTCTCACATTCCTTCTGGTAAAACTTCATCATTTATTCAGTAACTCAGGCGTCTCCAATGCATTAATTTTGTAGACTATAACCTAACAGACAGCCCTTATTTTGTGAGTATAATATTCCTGGCACATACTGTAATTATCTAGCTTCTAAATAAGAAAGAAGTAAGACCTGAAAGCAGAATCAATTGATTAATGTAAGAATTAAACACCACATTTGAATGAATGTGTCTTTTATCACCACAACCTGATGTTATGTAAGGAATTGTGCTGTCACTACATTTAGAAGTTTTATAAAATGTTTGAAATAAAATTTTAAAATCCATATGCAAAATGTTCGTTTCAAAGCACATCATCAATAGTAATTAATTCACAATCCCAGGACAGAGATAAGCAACTCCTACTGCTTATCTTCTGGTTGTTCTATCCTTAATTTACAGCCAACATGGACTGGTATCATTCTTAGCTGACAAGTAGCAAACAGACTGTGCATCAGTTTTAGCCTGTGGAAGACAATGAGAGAGCATTTTCTCTGAGATCAACGAACTCTGCCTTTTTCTAAGGCAGTTTAGGCAAAGTAGGGCTTTTGTTTGTCTTGGGTTTCTAATACCACACTAACAAAGAACACTGAGAAAAAAATGAGTAGACAAGGCAATGAAGTAAAGCTGATTTAATCAAGATCACAAGCTGATCTTAGACCTTTAAATGAACTTCTCTCAAAGAAGTGGTCTGTAAACTAACAATATCCTACAGAGCAGTGAATATTTCATTATTTAAAGTCTAGTTCAAAATTTCCTTTTTTTTTTTTTTTGATATTTGTTTGTATTATGAGAAATATTTCTGAAAACAGAGGCATTTACTCCCTTATAATACAAGCACATGCAGCTCATACTTTTTTCATATTGAGGGTAAGATATTTGCATCTTCCACAGGAACAGCAAAATTGACTTACAGGGCAGTCTTATGTTAGTACTCTTATGTTGCACAGTGACTAAGCTATGCCTCTCATATGAAAATATACCTTTTACTTTTAATAAAACCATTGTCTTGTGTAGAAAACCAACTCCACTGCAGCCAAAGAGGTGCATCATCTGTATAATAGGGTTAAATAATTTCTTGTCTATTACAATATATAAAAGAAAAAATGGGTGGTACCTCCCCTTCCAACTTCAGAAGAAACGAGGTCCAGCTTTGATGCACCAGTTTAGCTATTTAATGACAAGCAGAATATATACTTTTCCTCCTTTTCTCAGCCTGTTTGTATGTCCCAGAATATTCACATTGTTTCCTGAAACTGTATTAAGGGTAAACAACTTTAGCTTTGTCATTATGCTTTTCTTCTGACAGCCATGGAAGGACTCAGTCTAATCTCATCACCTTGTATTTATCAGACTGCTGAAAGCTCTGGCATAGATTTTTCTTGGCCAACCAAGCATTAATTGAAACCACTGCAGTCACTGCTGTGCAAAGTTAAGGTGTCTCCTTTTAGCAGGCCTGAATGATCTTTTGAATGGAGAAATAGCTATATTAAAAGTAATCCTTACTGTAGAAAAGTTGGAGAAGTCCTGGCTGAGACTATTGGGAAACAGTAAGTGATGAAGAATAATGGGAGCAGTGTGGGGAGAGCAGCAGCAGCAGCAGCAGAGGAGTCTGTGCAGGGGTGTGGATTGGTGATAGCACAGGGTCAGGCACAGGACCCATCTAATCCAACATTCTGTCTCCATCACTGGCTACAAATAGATACTCAGGAAAAATAACACTAACATATGGTGCTTCCTAAGTATCAACATTCAAATTCACATGTTTAAGTAAGGAAAATGATGACTAATGAGGCCCTAAATCTTTCACAGTTTGTAAAAACAGCACAGTCCAGAAATTTGTCTAACAAACTACTCTGTCAAGGCAAACTTTGAAAAAACCCAAAGTGTTGCTTTCTGAATTTCCTTACATTGCCATCACAACTACCAGTGCTGAATAAAATCCAAGAGCATTGTGAGAGAGCAGCATAGTGGAGGGCCAATTACAAAACTAACAAACGTAAATCCTGATCACGAAAATAGATCGATGAGGCTTTTCTCACACCAGTCAAATGGACAACTGGGACCAAAGCTGGAAAAAGAGCTGCCCAGCAACGGTTCTCTGACCTGAAGTTTCTTTTTGTTTTTGGACCCAGACTTAAAAAAGAATTGGAAAAATGCAAAGATGATAGCTGGGAAAGTGTCTGCGAGACTCTTCAGACAGAAATTGAAATTCTGCAAATGGTATGCCATTTTCATTATGTATTTTAAGTGTTTGATAATTTTAGTTTTAAAGGTGTCATTTAGAATAATTAGCAGAGGTAAGCATTTTTTTATAATATGTACACATCTAAACACTCTCACATTACAGGCCCACTCCAATACTCATTTCTTTTGGCTTATTTCCAAATGTCCAGTTATATAATTTCTTACAGAAAAGGAAATTTACAGAGAAGAGACAAAGATACAAAGATTTGGGTTTAGCTCAAAAAAGATGTATTTGTGGGACTAATACAAATCATTAGTTTGTTGAAAGCTGCATAAGATTATGCCTTTTGGAACTAAACTTATCTTTACTTCAAGCTGCTAGATGTGAATATGGAGAAATAGGATCCTTTTATATAGTGCTTTGTTAACTCTCTAAAATTCCTTACAAAAACTTACTAAAATTGTGTTTTTCTCTAAATGTCTATCCTAATTCAGATTTCTTGATTATCAGTCTGTGTAATAATACAAAGAGAAAAACATTTTGAAGTCCCATTTGGGAAACAAAGGGCTTTTAGAGGTTCGTTTGAGCTGTATGAAGATTCTGATTGAGCTGTATGAAGATTCAGCTGCCACTACCATCAGTAGCAGAATGACAGTCATGAGAAATTTGCATTGCTCACTTTTATAATCAGTGTCAAGTTTCTGTTGAAGTAATGTAACTTGCTTGTACTTTATCTGTTAATTTTAACATTAATTTCTTCAGAAAGAAAAAAATCTCAATGTTTAAAAACTTCTCTGTAAAAAAACCCAAAAAAACCCAAAAACCAGAAGTCGTAAGATTTCATTATCCTTAATTCAATTCTTTCTCTTTTCCAGAATTTATCACAAAAGAAGTCTTCAGGCAAGTGAATAACATGTCACATGTGATATGGAGTGTCGCAGAAGCAAATCTGAATATTTTGAAACTATCTTACTCAGAGTCTATCAGATTTTCATCTATTTTTTGTTTGATTACTTCACAGTTTGTATCTGCCTTTACTTTTCATTAAAATTAAGTTTTATTAATGTAAAAGTGATGGGGGGATCGTGTTTTATCCTCAAGTTCAACAGCCACCCATCTTTAACTCCCTCTCTGTGGCCCATGGATCACAATACATGATCCACTACACATAAAGCTCAGTTCCTGTGTTACTGGCTCTATTCTTTATGTCCTGCTTTTTCAAATGAATGGTCTCCCATTCCTAAAGGGAATGGTTTGACTATCAGGAAAACTTAACAGGAGCTACAACTGTTCCGTTTATGCCTCAACAGTGCAATTTCATAAGGAGCTCTCTGAAACAGCTCAGCTCCAGCGATGCTGCTTGGCAGTCCAGAGTAGTTTCCAAACTACTGAGCTGTGGATGCCTCCACTGGTGTTAAGCCAGTCCATTTCTTAGTGCTTGCCTTCTGATTACATGACAAAATCTCCTTTTCTTCCTCTCCCACAACCCTCAAAATCCTGAGCACTAAATTCAGCACTCGAGAGCAAAGGTAAAACCTTGTGCTAAATGAAAAGTCCACATTTCTAGAGAATGGGGAAGAATTTTAATTTAATCGGGATCCCTATTCTTTCAAGCATGTAGGATGTGTGACTGCTACAGCAGTTCCCAACCCACAGGAGGAACTGACTTTATCATTCCGGTGCTTACAATCAGACCATGTAAATACATTCACTCTGCTCAGTGCAGTCCGTGGGCATCAACTCCTCACACCCCACTGCGTGTGCAAATATTTTTCAACAAGATTCTCACCTGAGGGTGGGACAGGCAGTTGCTCTTCACTTTTTTTTCCACACCCAGAGCTCTTCAAGCTACAGGAGGTGTCTGTCACACACAAAACTGCAAAAGATGTTTTATTAAGAAGGGAGGAATAAATCACTTTTGGAAGCCGATCAGATTCTGCCTGTGATGGAGAAAGTTTTTTCCTCTTGGGACACAGCTGCAGTTTGAAGTCTGGCAAGGTTTGATCTGCAGCCCTGGTATCAAAGAGACTTGTGATCCACTGGGTTAGCTAGTATAATTCCAAGAGGGGGGAATAATCATTCTTAATAACCACTGCTGTTGGAGCTGACATCCTTATAAAAAAATAAGACTTTTTTTTGTCTCTTCCCTAAAACAGATCCTCTTAGGATTGATGTTAAACAACTTAGTCCCTCTGTCTTCTAAGGGACCATCTGACTTCTAAAGTTAGGCAACTCCTCTTTGGGGGTTTTGATCAAATCCAACCCATACTGCAAAATACAGTTGCTTATGAGAAGATCTACAGAGAGCTAAAGCAGTGCTATTTCCAGGTTTAACTGAGGAAACATATAAATTTTGGATTTTCTAGAATAGCTCAGTTTGGCCTGATAATTTCATTCTCTTAAGGTAACTTGCTTATAGTAGCTATGTTAGCCAACCACAAAAAAGCTAATTTTTAAACTTTGAGTTTGTCTACTTATAGTTGCTTTTATTTACAAGAATCTTTGAATTTCTTCTGCAATGGTCTCATATTTATACAGCTCTTTGGTCCATATAGATGAAATACTGAGATATGACATAAACCAGAGCCCACTGGCTTACACCAACATTCTAAATACACATCTGAGGTAAGACAAATGAGCAAGAGCATCCAATAATTATCAAATAATACCACAAATTAACGTTCCTAAGTCAGCTGAAAAAACATCTGTGGAAAAAAAAATATGGTAAGCTCTTTTCAGAGATACTTCAGATTCCAGCAAACCCATTGCAAGGTCAGTTGTGTGTGTGTGTGTTTTTATGTTGTGTGTGTGTGTGTGCATGGAAGTCTGTGAAAGTCTGACTTCTTGATTATTGTAGAAGAATTACAACATAAATATAGCAAAATTTGTAATAACCCAAATGGCTAGAGCTTTCAGGATCAATATAAGAAAAAAACCCCAAGAATAAGGACCACTAAAAAAAGTGCAACAGAAATCAATACAAATCCTATTGGACTAAAGAAATCCCTCAACAGCTTTGGAAAAAAGTATAATGCCAGACTAAAGCAGCTGTTGCAGGGTGAATGTAAAACATAATAATTTCTCCAAGTATAAAATATATTTGTTGCCACTGTCTTACGAATAATCTAATTTTGGACAAATACAGTACTTCTATTTTGGAAGACCGAACTAAAAATGAGGCAAAAATTTGTGTTTTGTCGGTTTTCATTAAAATTCTCAAACTGGGGATGAGTAATCTTTTAAAGAATGACTGCAAAAGAACCAAATCATTTGTGATGTTTGATAAAAATGTAAGAACCTTGCCAGATTACCAAGAAAATACACACAGAGTTATTATGAATAAATGAATTGTTTCACTGACGACATAATAAGGATATATTTTTAAGGGTAACCTGTATATATATATATTTTTTTTTTTTTTAAGGGTCACCTGTGTATATATATATATTGCATATGAGAGTCTAAAAGAACCTCAGAGGATGTATTTGTACCGTCTTATGAAAAACAAAATATTAATTAAAGCCATAGAAATACTTGAAACAGCTACTTAGAAAGAGGGAGATGGTCCAAGTAAAACATTATTATTCTAGAGGGAGGTAAAAAAAGTGTCAGGAAAACTATCAGTGCTTCTGTATGGACCTGGGAACAGTTGCTTCTTAGGATCGACAGATAAAAAGTCCCTCATGGGTGAAGAGAGAGAGAGAAATACTTTAGATTACTAAACTTGCCTATTAAGAGATCTGGCAAGCATCAAGTCCTGTCTCCTTCACAAAAAGAACTTGTTGAAGTATTGTTTTACCTCAGGCTTACATGGGACACCACAGCTACCACATTTTCATACTATTTTATTCATTAGTATTAACAGCTGTTTCAAAGACCAGCAAGAAAACGACTACAATATCTGACCACAGAATGAAATTATATTAGCTAATGCAACAGTACCCACACAAATTATCTCTAATTGGTTGACATAGATATGACTGAGTTGCTGATGGTGCCAAATTAGTGCCATAAAATGAAAAACAGCAAGAAAAAAGAAGAGTAAGTCATTGAAAAAAAGGTATCTGTAACTGAATGACAGGCTGAGGCAGTTTAGAAGAATTTCATATGTATGACATGGGGCAAATGTATCAATTGAGGTCACATATCCTTGTTCAGCTGACCTGACTTGTCACAGGGGGAGCTGAGAGTCTTCAGCTGCAGGGCTGGTTGCCTGAGTAGAGCTTGGCAGTTTGGCAGTTGACTAATCTAAAAAAAAATCAGACATCAAGGGAAAGGAATATTTTTAAAACTGTAACTAAATTACATTCATAGATCAAAATGGATGAGAAAAGTACCTGCAAGGCCAAACCCTGCCACAAAGGTGCAGTGGGGAACCTGAAAGCAGGATAAAGGATAGCAAGGAAAGGCCAGAAGGAGAACATATTTCAGCACTGTCTCTCTGGGTAAGGATGCCTGACCAGCACCACTGCTGATTTGTAGCAGATCCCCCTGGTCTTTTGGTAGAGAAAAGATCACTACTTTTGGATTTGCCATTCACTACATTTCTGCTGCAGATTCAATCAAATCTTATTCATCATGGCAGTTAAATACATTAGAATTTTGAGGAGCTCTATGTGTGCATCCGTGTGTGTGTGTACCTGTTTGGGTGCTTTCTGCTGTGATACCACACTGGCCAGCCTGAGTGAATTTGGATGAAGCAGTGGGCATCTCTCTACATTGTCACGATGGTCCAGGTTTAAACTCATCCTAACTCAGCACTCTCACTCAGGTGGAGAGCAAACCAACTGCCTTACAACAGTCATCTTCAGTTTGATAGTGGTTTGGGACACAAGGTAGGAGAGAGGGGCCTGTCCTGAAGCTTCTGGTAAGTGAAAAAACCTCCAGGTGCTCTCCATGAAAAACATAACAGGTTTAGCATCCAAGGATGGCAATGCAATTAACTGATACTGGGTAAAGAGGACTAGCAAAATAGTTCCAGTTCTCTGCTCTGAGGTGAAATGTGGGATTACAATATGGCAGCTGGGTAAAGGATCACATTCAGTGCCTAATGACCTATGTCTTGCTTGTCAATAGAGTACTTGAGCAAGTAGTAGCTCTGCTTCCTTTATTGATTGCAGCTGATGGGTAGTGCTCACACTGTACTGATAGCCCAACCGTCCAAATTCCCATCATTCCAGTTTTTCTGCTCAGGATTTTTCAGCCACTTATCCAACTGACTTTCATAATGATTTGCTTGTTTAGTTGGTGAATTTTTATGGCTGATTTCATCAAGTTTTCAGATGCATTTTTTATATTCCACACCAGGCTGCTGTGAGTAGCCCTCTGTGTAGCAAAGCATCTGTATTCTGGGCTGCAAAACAATTATATTTGGCAGTACCTTCTTCTGCAGCACAGTTTTCACCTGGCTCACTAATAAACCTCTGAAAGCCTAAACTGTCAAAAACACTTACGAGACTTTGAGTTCCAAAGAGGGGACATGCCAGCTCTGATTCTCTGAAGGGCCAAACTCAAAGCACATCCAGACACTTATAGTCACCCCCAGTCACCTTGCTATGTGTAGGGTCTGAATGCATTTTCAACATGAGATTGTCACCTGCAGGAGGTTTGTATTTCCTTTCGTTTTTACTAAAATTGTATCAGAAAGCCCTAATACTTTCAATTTTGAGACACTGGGTGTGTTACACTACACTATAGACCCTCTGCATTTCTTCAGCCAGACCTATACAGTAATTCCCTGACGTTATCACTTTCACCACTCATTTGGTCACTCCCACAAATAGGGCAGCCTGATTAGCTGAGGATCTTAAAAGTTTTGAGAGAAATGTGAAATGGGAGCTGATTCCTTTCTTCCCACTTAATGCCCTGAGTATTTAAAGGAAACATCTTGTCTGGAAAAAGTAGCTTTACAGTGATCAATTTTACCTGTAAATAATTTATTATACAGATGAA